TCAAATTTCCAGTCTCTAAAACTGAACTTAATATTTAGCTTGGAGTTCTTTGATTTTATAAGGTCTTTAAAGATTGTCCGCAGACAAGAGACTTGTTTTTGTTTACATTGGCTATATCTATTCTAAGTATTTGACAAATGCAAAAGTGTGTTCAAAAGTTATCAGCCTGATCCATATTAAAAAAATATGTTTATTTATTTCACCGGTGGTGGCAACTATTTTTCATATTTTGTTAAATTTAAACGTTAAATTAATTTATTAAAATCCTTACATTTTTTAAATATTAAATTATAATTTTTTTTTTTTTATAAATCTATTTAATAGTAGATATTTTTAATATTTCTAACTTTAAAATTGAACAAAACAATTTTTTTTACCAAACATTTCAGTTCTTTTTCTGAAGGTACTTTTTCATCAGTTCAAGATCTTTTCACTACTTTTTTGCATATGAAGATGGTATTCATTTTTTTTTTAACAAATATGTTAGAGCCAAATTTTCTTATTTTGTTAAATCTAAACAAATTTATTAAAATCCCTAAAGTTTTGTTTTATTTTTTTATTTTATTTTGTGAATCTATTTCATATTAAAGATTTTGAAATACTTCTAATTTTCAAAATTGAGCACAAAAAATTATAACCAAATTTAAATTTTTAATCATGTATAAAATATTAAAAATTTTCTTATGTTTTTAAGTAAATTTCTTTAATACTAATTTTATAACTATTTCTTTGCAAAAATTTGAAATTAGTTTATGCCATTGTTTTTTAATCACAATGTGATATGATTCAAATCTGATTTTGGGGGTTTTAAGAGATTATATCACATGCTTTAATTTTCAGTTCAAGGGATCTGCATTTTTTTAATAAGACTAACATGATCATTTTTGTTAATAACATTGAAGTTTGTTTGTTTTTTATGTACACTTAACAAAAAAAAGACAAAATATTCAGCAATGAGCCATGCAGTGAATTAAACATTTGACCAAAGCAAAAATTTACCTGGTGTTAAACTTGACATAAAAACAGTGCCTTAAAGCAGTAAATTAAGCTTTTTTTTTTCAGTGTTTGTTATACAAAAGTGAAGCTTAAAAATTAATTTTCAAATATTTATATTTCTTTTTTTTTTTTGCAAACACAGCAAGTACATACCAAAAATAGTGAACAAATAAAAGAAGGAAATATGAAGCAAGCAGCCTTGGCAAAAAATAACAACAGACTCAAAAAAAAATTAAAAAAATTAAAAAAACAAACAATAACAGAGAAAAAAAAAAGAAAAAAAATTCCAAAATTTGTGTGGAAAAATTGAACAGGGTTGAACACAGAGCCGTGCAAATGGGATGTCAATATTGCTATCTAACAACCTCCAAAACTCAACCAGTCACCCCACTCTCAACTGACCCTCGCTACCACCACCTCCATTGCCTCAAACTAACCCATGGACAAAAAGCATCATATGAAAACTTTTTCTACTTTGTCATATATTTTTCCTCCAAAATTGTTCTTGATATATAAAAATTTATATATTGCTATCATAAACACACACACAGAATTCTACCATATTTCTTTTTTGGTCAGTTCACCCCAAGCAAGATTATAATACTACTAAGACACAAGGGGTTACTGGGAATGAAAGAAAATTAGAAGACTTTCATTTGAAACCAGAAACCTAATGACCAAAAGAAAATGAGGGATAAATCTCTGATGTGCTTTAAAAAGGCAGGGAGGATTGTGAACCAGACAAGAGGCAAAACTATATGTGATAGAAATAAAATCATATATATATATATATATATATATATATATATATAAAATGTGTGTGTGTATTAGGGCAGCAGATCATTATTCAACCATATATTTTTAAATATAACAGACAACTAATGTCTATTATGTTTGATCAGGAGCCGTTCTAAACTTTGTATAGTTGCTTTAATTTTGGGAGTAAATAAAGACAAATATTGTCCAACATTTGTATATTTTTTTTTTTTATGAAGCTGTTCCTTGATCTAAGCTTTGGACTCACATATGAGCCATCTTCAGAATGGTTATGGTATTCATCAATCCACCCACGGGGATCGAATGTGGCATAAGGCCTTTTTAATGTGGGTATCTCTGAGCCCGTAGGCCCAGCCAAAAATAAATAACCATCCAAATCCGCCGAGGCGGGCCAGTTCTGTCAACCTCCCCCAATGAAACCCTACCCTTCGGCGGAGCTTCGTCCGGGTTCCTCTCTGCAAGCAGAGAGTTCGACAGACACCCGACAGCTCACAAAGCACAGATACTACACTTTGATCCTAGCCACCGGGCCGAGCGGGTATTCTTCTGAATGGTTATATGGACATTTAAACAACGATTGCTATGTTGTTAATATTTTGTTCCCTCACATGGTACAATGTCACAGAACCATATCATGAATTTTCAACCTGCGTCTGCTATTCTGCCACTGTTATCATCACATAGCAATCTTCTATGTCAACATAACAGAATATCATCGTTGATGGTGAATATATTTGTTTAAATGTCCATATAAGTACTCTGAAGATGGCTCATATGAGCCAAAAGCTTAGTTCAAGGAATAGCTTGATAAAAAAACTATCCAAGTTTTAGATAGTTTTTTGTCTTTATTTTCTCCCAAAATTAAAGCAATGATACAAAGTTTAGAATGGCTCATGATCAAACATCAGAGACATTCATTGTCTGCTATATTTAACAATGTATGTTTGAATATATTTATGTGTGTGTGATATCTTCATTGCATTGAATGAAGATAACACATTCAAGAAATAGTATGTCACTTGGAGTCAATATAGTCTTACAGAGATTGGTAATAAGCAGATAAGCTACATCTCTCACTCTCTACTTGAATTCTTTTGAAATGTCTGCTTAGTCTGGCTAAAAAATTTTTCAGCACCTCCATCTGTGCCGGTGTGGTGCTGGTTTGAGCGTAAGAACATTAGCATACTGAATCCTAAACCAAGGTTCAAACCTCTCCATGGTCGATTTGTCAAGGTGAATTCTATCAACCTGTTTTAATTGAGAGAATGATTGATTCCTAAAAGAATACCTGCTCCTGGAGATTCCTCACTTAACCAACGTCTCCCCACAATAAAAGAAGATTTTTGCAGAAATATATCTGTGGAGAAATAGGCTATTTTTTGCATTTAGTCAATATTCAGTTGAATACAGGTTCTCATATTATAAAAGAAAAGACTTGTATTATTTTTATCTGAAAATTAATTTATATTTCTTATGGTTTATCAACCTTTTGTGTGTTGTTTAAAGCTGAAACATTTTGGATTGTAAGAATAAATCTTTTTATTCTTGTAAGTGAACACAGCTTTAACAATTTTTTTTAAGTATATAAAGGATTATTTCCAGATACATTTCTGGCTACTTAATGCATAGCTGGTAGAGGGAGGTGGATTAACACCTTTCTTAAGGTAGTTGTATGTTGGTGAATGCAATGAACCTGACTGGAATTCAAACTTGGTTCTTCAGTTACTCATTCTTAGCTGCTATCCATTGCCCAACTCTATTATAAGTCAAGGGAAGTAATTGTAGCACAATTTGGGAAATGCCTAAAAACCAGGTCACAGATTGACCCAAGTCTTATGAATTAAATTTGGGTAAACAAAATTGTCTGCAATTCATCGTGACCAAGGATTTAAGCATACCAGTCTTGTTCAATCGTGCAAAATTATGCGTATAAATCACAGGTGAGCTTTGTGGGTTTTGAACAAACAGAAATGTGCCTGAGCGGAAATAAATAAAAAAGCCGAGGGTTGGTTAATGTTGGAGTTTTTTTATGGAAAAGTTTGACTGATGAGCAAGAAACCCTTTGTTTCTAAGCTCCACCCACACAGAGTTATCCTACTCCCTCCATTTTTACACACACACACACACACACACACACACACACACACACACAGTGGTGATACTTTGACTATCAGCCAGTCTTATCTTCTCTGAAGTTCTCCAGGTAAGAGCAAATACATTTCAAAGAGAAAATCTGTGTGTGGTGGGGAGAGGATTTTGACAAGAAGGAGAGCAAGCAAGCTTAAAAGAGATCCTTGCTGCTTTAAGTGTTTCAAAGTGAAGCCTAAACCACCCCCACACCCAAACGAAAGAAATTACTCCCTGGCTGGAGTCAGCCCCACCACAATGAGATGGAGTGAGCTTGTCTTTCCTTAGCAACCCATAAGAAGCCCTTCACTTATCTGATGGCTTCCTGAAATCTTTCAGAACATGAAACAATACTCTATCCACAGAGCAATCAGCCCATCCATTTCCCAAAGCAACAAAACTTGCAACGCACTTTAACAAATATAAATGATAACAGTAACAATGGAGAAGTGCTTCTATCTATTGTCTAAAAAAAAAAAAAAAAAGAAAAAAAGGAAGCTGAGGAGAGTCATTAACATTCCATACCTCATTTGAAAAGGTGAAGATTTTTCATTGTTTTGTTGCCACAAAGATTAAAATAAGAAATCGAAGAGACAAATTTGACTTTCAATTGGCTTCATTACATTGACTTATGTGCAAACACCTTAGTGAGAGGCATAAATTCATCTCTCCCCTCAGCTATAGGTTAAATAAGACATTGTTATCAACCCAAAAATTGTTAATGCAATGTTCTAAAAAAAAAAAAAAAAAAAAAAAAAATAAAAAATTAAAAAAATGTTTCAGCTGTAAATAAACTAATTTATAATAATTTAAAGCATTAAGTATAGTGATTAATTCTTTTTTTACAGCTTATCAACCCTTTGTAGGTTATTTAAAAACAAAATATTTTGTTAGATAGTAAGAATTGCTTTTTTAAGATAATAATGATTTAATGATACAATTCCTACTGATTAACCCATAGCTGGAGGAGAATCGGTGTATTCATACCTTTCCCAAGGCTATTAGTGCATAAATGAATATAATAAAACCAAAAATAATTGAAACTACTCTTCAATTAATAATTCCAAGCCATTATCCATTGCATCACCTGCACATCCATGCTTACAGCACCTGGTATTACCAAGTGGTCACCCATACACGTACTAACCAGGCTTGATGTTGCTTAAATTTCAGGTTCGTATGGGAACTGGAATACATCAATCGATAATGCCTAATATTTAAGGATAAATCATGAAATTTCCCACTTCGATCAGATGTGTAATAAATGAAATGGGCTGAAAAGGTTATTTCTGGTTTAAAGGTACAATTCTTATATGGATTATTTTTGTTTCTTGACTATTCTAGATATTTTCTATTAATCAACAACTCAGTAAAAATGCAGGGCATGTGTTTTATTCCAGTTTTCGACAGTATGAGAGAGAATGTTTCTCTCGGTGTTTAATTTGACTATGGCAAAGACAAGTTCTTTTTTTTTTTTTCCTTTTTTGTCATTTTCTTTCCAGCTTTAAAATAAAAAAAAAAAATAAAAAGATAAATTAGGGAAGAAAAAAAACGAAAATAAATTTCAATTTTTTTTTTTCCACAGCCTATAACACGCTGAATAATTATATTTGAGAAACTTTTGGAAAGTGTTTAGAGGATAAGAACCAATCATAGGACATCTTCAGTGGAATTGGCACTGGGCAGAAAAGTAATCCAATTGACAAGATTGGAACCAAAATGAAACAAGTTTGAATTTGGAAAATAAAAATAAAAAAATAAAAGATAACAGGAAGAATGGAAAGTGGTGAAAAATAATTTGGGAATATTTTTAAGTGGATAGAAAATGAAAAACGAAATTTGCATTGTCTTTATGTATTTAATTTTGTCTTTGGCAGCCCATGAAGTTTGGATGACCAAAGTCATTTTTATTATAGTTGACAAAACATTTTAGAATGTCTCAGCTCACTAATGCAGCAGAGAACATTCTGAGATTAAAATCATTCCTCTTCTATTGTGGGGTTAATTTTTGTGTGTGTGTTTTTTTAAAATGTGATAGGTATATTCAGGAGTTGTATTTTTCCATATTTCATTCTCCAAACAATTTGAAGGGAGCTCATAGCATGAAATGTTTAGAGCAGTGAATTTAGATATTTTGAGTTCCTATATATATATATATATATATATATATCTCACATTATGAAATGGACAAAGTCCGACAATTATTTTGAGATATTTTTTATGTTTATACATTCTTTTATAGATACAAATATTTAAGTAAATGCTCTGTTTATAATAAACAGTATTAAACAACATTTACTGGCCTGAATGTCCGAGAAATTTTCACAGAAAATATTCGTCCTCTGACAGGATTCGAACCTGTATCCTATACGGACGTCATTTAGCTTGATGTGCCTTTAACCAATTTGGCTACAGAGGAGCGTTCGGTTAGCACGGAAGATTGACGTTTAAAACAGTAAATTCGACCTTGCTAACCGAATGCTCCTCTGTAGCCAAATTGGTTAAAGGCACGTCAAGCTAAATGACGGTTTCGTATAGGATACAGGTTCGAATACTGTCAGAGGACGAATATTTTCTGTGAAAATTTCTCTGACATTCAGGCTGGTAAATGTTGTGTGTGTGTGTGTGTGCCAAAGTAAGTTTTTTTTTTTTTTTTTTTTTTTAATATATCCCACACAGGTAAAACTATTGGAAAAAAAAAGTTGAAAATGAAAGAATATCTACTTAGGCATGTGGCTCTGCCATGATATGCCTTTTTCCGTTTAACTTTTGAAAATCATAGAACTGTTAAATCAGTAAATTTACTCAAAATAATTATTCTTAAAGACTTCAAACTTTTTCCTCTCTCTAATTAATATATATATATATATATATATATATATATATATATATATATATATATATATAATTATTCCTAGAGAAAATGTAGGTCAAAAGTTGTGTGAATATCCTGGAGGCTTCAATCATTTGCTTCACTGGATGGAATTGCAATGATTGAATGCCTGTCGGAAAATGGATAGTGGCTTGGATCGAGAATCAGTGAGTCATGTTAGAATACCCCATGTTTTCCTCTGTCCATCTTGCATTCAATATGTCCTGTGAGTGTTAGATTTTCTGAGCCCTCTTTCCTCATGTTGTGCCTTAGAAATCTCAACTGTCCCTTTCTAATAATAAAATGCAATGTGTGTTGATATTATCTGTCTTCTTTAACCCTGTTCCTTTCTGTTGTCCTTTTCTCAGTTCTCCCCATTCTCAGTCTTCCCATTTTCTTTCACTCCCTGTAACTGCCCTCCCGCCACCAACCTAGCATTCTATGGGCACTGTCACCTTGATTAGGCAGAAATCCCCAACCACAGCAACACAGATGGAGGGAAATTCTCTTCATACACACACATTGTGGCAGGCTGGAGTTGGTCCTCCCTGAATTAAGGGCAAAATTAAAGATGACTGACATTAACAAATGTAAAATAGCTGCAAAACCCTGAACAGCATTAAAGAGTGTGAAATTATTCCCCGGTGTGACTGGTTCTTCTTGGCCAAAGCAAGGGTTTGGGGCTCTTCCCTGTCAAATTTAGCATTAGGGGATATGATGATCGATTGAAAACATCTGAAAGTTCATGATTACAAACTGGATATAAAATACCTCTAACCAGTTTAAAAAGACGTTAATGAAGATTGGAAACAAGATAAAAAAAATTAAAAGGGGTGGCAAAGGATCAAGTTTAATGGATAAAAAATTTGTCCAAAAATTAAAAGGGGGTGGCAAAGGATCAAGTTTAATGGATAAAAAATTTGTCCAAAAATTTCACTTCAGAGAAATAATTGTGAAATTAAGACTAGTGGTAAAATAAAATACAAAAGTTAATTTTTGTAAAAAGGTAAGCCGAAAAGAAAAATGTTTTTTGCAGGCAATCTTGCATTAAAGTTATAAAGATCCCTGACAGATGTTGAAGCACTTAATGCAAAGAAATTACAATTTACATAATTATTAAATATATTTTTTAAAACTTTTTTCAACAAAGAATAAATCAAAGAAACAAAAATAAAATTTAACAAAAGTTATTTTTATAATATTGGCAAGGTGCATATCACTAAATTGTAAGAGAATTTTTTTTTTTACCTAGAATTGGACAAAATAAGCAAATAAAAATTGTTGTTTTTGACAAAATTTGAAAAAACCAAGCCAAAGGAATTTTGGAAAGAAAAGAAAAAAAAGATTTTTATAAATAATAATAATAATAATGATAAAAATAAAAAAAATTACGTTTCTTAAACTTTGGCAATTTTCTTAAAATTATACCCAACCGACCTGTTAAAAATTTAAACTTCTTTCATCTTGTCACTAGGAATAACAGAAATCTAGCTTTTGTAATGGAAAGTCTCTCTTAACTCTATAGAATTAAGTAAATTCTTCAATTTGTTGTAAATAAAAGAAAAACCAAAAAAAATAAAATAAAACTAAAGATTTAAGTGTGCAAAACAGTTTACAAAAAAAAAAAAAAAAAAGAAAAGTTTTTAAAAGAGAACTTAGCTTATAGTGCCAATAATTTTAATGTTTGATATGTTTTCTATGACTTAACCCTTTGCAACCTATTGAAAGCCAGAAAAAAAATCTTTGGAATGTCTTTTTTATTTTTTTTTTTATTAGGCAATAATGGTTTAGTGATACAAGCCTTATTAATTAATCCATAGCTAGGGAGAGAAGAGGTGCATTCATACCTTCCCAAGATTATTTACACATAGATGAATATGACGAACCCAAGGGCAATTAAAAGTCAGCTCTCATTGACTAACAATTCTGAGCCATTATCCATTACACCACCCACACTTACAGCACCTGGTATTCCCAAATGGTCACCCATCTAAGTACTGACCAGACTCAACATTGCTTAACTTTAGTGATTGTACTGGAACAGGTAATATTTTTAAGACATCAAGAAATAACTGATAATATAAATGAGATTTGTAAACACGAAAAATAAATGGTTCTTATTGATAATTTTAATTGTTTCAGAGTGACCGAAAAATATGAGCTATTAGTAGAAAGAGTCAGTTAGTACAATATTAGTAATAGCCCTTGTAAATATGCAGTTGTTAATTTTGCATCTACATACTAAGCATACTAACCATTGAGGCATGTTAATAAAATTTGGTATATTTTTTAATTTATTTTTTATTAAATTGCTGATCAGTAGCATTTTTTTTAATTATTTAACATTAACTTAGTATGGAAAAATAGCTAATTCATTCTTGATAAATAAAACATATATATATATATATATATATATATATATATATATATGAATGCTCGACAGACCAAAAATTTTGGGCCCTTCTCTGGATCTTTGAAAGTCAACTAAAAATTGAAGTATCTGTCTGTATCTCTGAGATGAGGTATTATGATTACTTGCATTATTTACATTATTTGGACTGTTATCCTCATATTTATTGCCATATTCACAACATTTCAGCTTCTATGTCTCTTTAACAGTAATCTTATAACAGGTAGATTTTAAATTTTAAATAAAATTTTTTACTTTACCCCATCTCTAAATAACTGAATAGTGACTCATTAGTGACTCACTGTATATCATTGTGTATAAGCTGATCGTATGCATTGTGAAAACACAGATTTTTTTTGTCATATACCTAGTGTATAATATGCCCCAAGCTTCTGAGCAGTAGTAGTAGGCTTGCCGTAATCAAATATTCAAGTTCTTTTCCTTTTTTTTATTTTTTTTATTTACTTTTTTTTTAAACAGTGAGGTTGACTCTGTAAGAGGTCTGAGAGCCACTCGAGGTAGAGTGATACAGAGTTATGGGGCAGGGTTTATGCAGATAGGTGGGGAAGGTAACAGTTAACTCTAGACTTAATGAGGTTAAGATTGTAGTTTCACACTTGTGGTTCACAGTAATAAGCTGCTCAAGTGGAACTTTCTTCTCAATAATGGAAGATAGACGGAATGAGGATTAACTACCTTCAATTCTTGGTAATGTTTGTTGTTTTTAAATGTGATGATTATAATTGTAATAAAATCTATCAATATTTCCACGGAAAGTGCTCAGATGAACTACATCTCTTAATATCTCCAGTTCTAACCTTCATGGCTAGGATCCACCATGCCAATTACATTGTAACGAACCATTTAGGTGAAACTTAGGTAGGTTGTTCCTGGCTCTTTAGGATTCATTTCATATATATATATATATATATATATATAACTTAAATATTTGTATCTATAAAAAGATTGTATAAACATGTCTTAAAATAATTGTCGGACTTTGTCCATTTCATAATATGTGACGTCATTTGTTTACATTTGATACACGATGAGCAGATATGAATGTATGTGAGAGATTCGTAGAAGATTGAAGTTCAAATACAGTAAATTCGACCTTGCTAACTGAATCCGCCACTGTGGCCAAATCGGTTAAAGGCATGTCAACCTAATAATGGTTCCGTATAGGATACAGTTTCGAATCCTGTCAGTGGACAAATATTTTCTGTGAAAATTTCTCGGACATTCAGGCTGGTAAATGTTGTTTAATACTGTTTATTATAAACAGATCATTTACTTAAATATTTGTATCTATAAATAGAATGTATAAACATAAAAATGTTTTAATATATATATATATATATATATATATATATAGCAAGTACTTAGACAACTGCATCCTCTGGTTCCACCAGGTCTGACGTTTATGGCTAGCATCTGCCATGCCACTTACATAGCAGCAAACCACTCACATTCCCTCTATATTGCATCGGCAAGAAGCAAGTTCCAGTCAAACAGCTTCTTTCTGTGAACCACTGCACTATGGAACAAACTCCCTAGAGGATGCTTCCCCAATTGCTACAATCTTAATTCATTCAAGCCCAGAGTTTACCATTATCTTCCCGTCTTATCCATATAATCTACTCACTAACATAACCCTTTACCTCCAAGTGGGCCCCCAGGCCTTGCACAGGATGAACCTTATTGTTAAGTATATATATATATATATATATATATATATACACACAAAGTGAAAGAACAGACAGATTAACAATCTGCAGTTCTTAGCATTTACTTTTTTCAAAAAGTGGTCAATATAACAGAGAGCAAAATATTATTATAATAATTTTACATCGTAACACAAAAATTTCCATGTTTCAAGACTTCATAATTATCCCTCATTGGATGAAGTTGGATAACTTACCTAACAAGTTATCTAAAATTTCCTGATGAGAGACAAGTTTAATGTCTCGAAACATGAAAATTCTGGTGTAGCGATGTAAAATATTATAATAAAACTATTAAAATAATATATATTTACTTATTTCTATGCATAAATGTTAAAGTTTGATCTTTTTATATCTGTTTATATAAATTCACTTTGCCCATCTGGTGTTAGTGTATTTCTTGAAATCATTATTTATGAGTTTATATATAGTTTGTTTTTTTTTGTTTTTTTCAGGATAGTTGCATTTCAATTTGAATATTATTCATTTTTAGACCATTTAAAAAAAAAAAAAAATTGGTTTTTTGCCCTCAGCTTGAATGCAAACATAGGATTGCCATCCAGTAGGCAAGTAGCCATGATTAGTAAAAAAAAAAAAAACACATTAGTCATCAACAGACAAGACACCAAGGATGAAAGAAAAAAAACACTTAATGGCCATATATTAAAACAAAAAAACAAACGAAATATCTTGTGTGTGTCTGCCAATCTGAGTGCATTTGATTGATTTACCTTCTCCTTGCGTGTACTGTAAGGTATCACATTCGCTCACAGTCTTTTCGTTGCAATTGTTTCGATTCCTGAAACAAAAGAACATGTAGATGTTTAAATCAAACATAAAAGATTTTGAAGAAAAAAAAAAAAGCAATTATTTCAATCAACACCAAAATAATTTAGTACTTAAGACTGATATTTCCAACCATGTGATATATTATCACACACAGTAGGCTTGACATTTTGGGTTCAGTGAGATCACATATTAAAAATAAATGAATAAAAAAGGAATTTTAATTTTAAACACTGAATTCTAATCAAAGCTACAGATTTTGATTCAAAATGGATCAAGGTCACCAAATAAATTATCAGCTATATACAGCCATACATATTCTATCAGCAATGCTTGCCTTCATTCCTGATCTCCAATACATTCTTATAGTAAAATCATTAGCAATGCATTTTCATTCTACATATAATAGCCCCATTCTATCAGTAATGCTTGCATTCATTCCTGACCACTAGCAATCATTGTGAATCAATTAGACACTTCAGAAAATAAAATTTAACTTTCCACACTACCATAAAAAAAAGGTTTGGAAGGAAAGTCCCACAAATATTAAAAAAAAGTTCTAACAGTTATTGGGCTTCAGACACCTATTTGTTTAAAAAACAAATTAAAAACCTCTTTTAAGAGAAAGATTCTAGAAATTTTGATTGACTGTAATTCTAAATTCTTAGACAATGACAGGCTAATGTTTCTTGTATAGAAACAAATTTTACCACAACCATTTGCAGTTAAATGAGTAGACAAAAAAATTCTTACCTTCGCAAGAGAATGATAATCATGATGATTGCAATTGCCATGCAAAGAATCACGGCTACAATGGATCCAGCAATAATACCAATAGGGGCATTGTTATAGGGAGGTCTTCGTACTGTGGAAGAAACAAAAAATTAAATAAAATATAAAAAATGAGCCAGAAGTGAAACAGATTTCTGTCTATATAATTTCATATTATAATATATGTATATATAATTTAATATTAGAGCCTCTCTTTCAGCACCTTGTATTCCCAAGTAGTACTGACCAGGCTCTATGTTACTTAACTTCAGTGATCATATGAGAATCAGAGCTGCAATGTGATGTTTTTGTGTGTGTGTGTGTGTGTGTGTGTGTGTTTTCTAAACAGATGTTTATCCCTTGTTCCCTGTTTAGGACTGGCTTTCTGGTTCATTCTAAAAGACTTCTTGATCTCCTTCACTCCCAGTAACCCATAACATCTTAGTGGCTTTATCCCCTTTCTTGGGGTGAAATGATTAAAAAAATAAATAAATAAATAAAATAAAAATTTAAGCCAGCCTATCAAAGAAACATAACAGAATAGGAAAAGAGTATTTAGGATTTTTTTTTTTTTTTGAACAATAATGCTTTAAATTTGGGTGAAGAAAGAAAGGGTGAAAAATTATTAAGAAAAAAAAAATGGTGGCACCATCTTTGATCCTGTGACATGTTAGGTTATCAGAAATGATTGAGCAGATCGCAGGAAGTGTAAAAGACAAAATTCTGAGAGACCTGCTTTGTTCTCTTCTACTGACAGCGATAATTGCAATTGTGTTTTTATCATGCTATATAAAGCATATAATCTCAAAGTAACTAATTGAGAAAGAGCCAGAAAAGAAGGATTTTTTTTTTTTTGGCGGGGGGGGGAACTTTTTGTGAAAGTAAACTTCTCGTTTTATTCCTCATGTTCAACTTCCTACAATACAATTAGGAGAAGCCAAAAAACAAAAAATATATATAAGGTAGTCTTTGGAAACGATTGGCAGATGAAAAGAGAAAGTGGAAAAATTCTATTCATCATTTGCCAAGATGACGGCTTCCTTTATAATAAGAGATTGCGGAAAATTTTTAAAATTTTCGGCTTAAAAACTAAAAACAAAGTGAATGCGACCTAATCAGTCGAGAACGGAAGAAGAAGAAAAATGCTTGTCCTTTCAATGCTTAACAAAATATCCACAATGAAAATTCTTTTCGCTTGCTTAATTTCAGGGCAGGGGGCTGAGGGTGGAGTGTTTCAATCACAAAATTGGGGAAAAATTAAATGAAACGGCTGGAAAATGTGAGACTGTATTTAAATGTACTAAGAATTCTTGTATCAGCTTTTTTGCTGCCAACCCACACATGAGTTTATATCCT